AAAATTGTGTAGGGCACTGTATGCCTTTTGAGAGATAACAGGTGTGATACTTAGCATCTTATCTTTAGTAAGTGGACATATTGGTTAGACAGCTAAATTTCCAAAGACATATGTAGACAGCATCAAAATGAACATATTGATAGTCTCTGTCTAACTATTATCTTTATGTCTCTATTATCTTTATGTATCTATTTTGAGGTGCCAAAACGGATAATTAATGGCTCTAACTTACCTCTTCATATGAGTAAGTGCACTTGTGTAATAAGCAGCAGTGAGTAATGACAAACTAATGAGATAATAGTGCACTCAATTACTAATTGCTAAGCACTTAATCAGCAATGAATAACTAATGCTAAATGAACAATAAACTATGTTTAGTTTTAAGTACCCCTGCATATAAATGCCCTTGCACATAAATGAGCCTTGGGCACCCAACACCCTGTCACTGGTTTGTGGTTCATATTTGTGACACTTAAAGCAAAATGTTACCATAAAATCATATAAACAGCTAAGATCTAAAAATGGATTGAGATGACACAGGAAATGGCTGACCTTGGTCAGGAAAAGCATTTTTAAGGGTCGTAAGAACCTCTCTGTGCTGAGAACGATGGGCGGCTCATCACTTAATTTTGTTTGCCCCATATGCAGCAGAGTACAATGCACAGTGTGTTGTGACGAACTCCTCCTGTAACCCTTATTAAAAATGTCTGACACTTGTGCCACAGTAGCCCTTCTGTTGGCTTGGACCAGATGGGTTTTGGTCTTTGGGCACCCAACACCCTGCTGCTGGTTCGTGGTTTGTCTATCCTTGAACCCCACAAGCCTTGCCTTTTCGGTGATGCTCCAACCAAGTCATCTGGCCATAACAACTTGGTCCATGTCAAAGTTGCTCAGGTCTTCACGTCTGCCTATTTCTGCCACATCGTTTACAAGAATCTACTGACCGCCTACCGTCCAATATATCCCAGACCTTGTTACAAGACAATATCCGTTGTTACAAGAGAATCAACATTATTCAGTGGTTATAATGATCTGGCTGATCAGTGTGCAAACAATGATGCCCTGCTGAAAAATAAAAAAGCAAACCTTTATGATTTTTTGACATTAAATTCATTTTTAGTAAAATTTTCCAGTTATAATTTGATCTCTTTACCAAAACACAGTAAAGTTTGAAGATAAATCTGGAAAACAATGCTTTTTTTTACAACTTTTCTTTTTACAATCTTTATTTGTAAGGTATAAATTATTTTAAAGTTAATTATCAAAGCATTTATATTTTACAAAATATAGTATTTTGCTATTTTATTTCACTATTGCAACACACTGACAACCAAAGAGTTTTTTTTTTTTATTTTTACTTGTGCCTCATAACATTTTGTTGTTTGGTTTACACTCAAACAGTTTACAAGGAAAATATTAAAGTAAAGAGATTCAAAGGTTAAAAGTAATACAAACTAATTTTTTCTAATTTAAACTAATTTAAAACAGAAAAATGAATTCTTTGAACTTTTTGCTGTACCATCCTTAGCTATGATTTATCTAAAATGATATTAATTTTGTTTATCTGCATGATGCTTATGAGAGGCAAATAGTTGTGGACATGTTTTGAAGCAATTTTGACAGAATGACCAATAGAGATGTGTTCATGCACTCTTAAAAATAAAGTTGCCAAAAAGGTTCTTTGTGCAATGCAATAGAATAATCTCTTTTGGTTCCTCAAAGAAGCTTTCAATGGATGGTTAAAGTACCATGTTCTAAAGAGATGTGTCTGAAGGACCTTTTTAAAATTTGAAGAGACTCCACATAATGTATGTAATGTAAGTTTTATTGAAGAACCCTTAAATTGTAATAGAGCACGGCTTGAAGCTTCTGAGCTTGTTGACAGCTCTATGGTTGATGGTTTCCAACACTTAAACTTGTCTAGTGCAATTAGAGATGAAACGATATTAAAATTTCATATCACGATTATCATGACCAAAATTATCACGATTATCGGTATTATCGCGATATTGTTCAAATGTGTTGAAAAGTAAAATAAAAAAATATATAAATACTGATACACAAACTGAAATTCATTTCACCAACTTTTATATTAACACAAATAGAATTGGCAGCAATATGCACTTTTTGTTTGCATAAACATTAAAAAATAAGGTCAATACATTTTTAGTATTACTTTTGTATTACTTACAATACTTGTAATACTCTGTAAACAAAATAATAGTAAATGTATTATTATTACTGTTATTATTATTACTGTTATAATAATAATAATAATTATTATTATTATTAATTACAATAACTAGGGATTTCCCTAGAGAATTAAAACGCGACCAACTCTGAGGTGGGTCTTAATGGAAAATTACTACTTCTAAGACGTGTTGCACTCGGGGGATTTCTTTCCTAACTGCAATTGCAGCATATTGTGCCGTTGTGGTGCTGTACCCCTCATCAATACAGTGCACCAGGAAAAACAAAGTCACAGAGGAATTGCGTGACCGTGCTGTGAGCTGCAGACAGTGTAGAACTCACTCAGTGTGAGTTCACCTGTGGAGCTGCTTCTCTAAAAGCATTTTAAAACTAAAACATAACATAAAATTAACATGCATCTGTGCTGCGACAGAAACACTCCTAAAGTTTAATCTCTGAAACAGCGTTTACTCGCGCAAGGTCCCGTCTCAAAGCACACTATCTTCCCTATGTAGTGCACTTCGTGGATCATGAAAAAGCAAATCCTTCACTCAAAGAGTGCAAGAAATGTTCGACTAAGTCATCTATAATCAACATTAACAACAGGTTACAAATTCCCTATTTAAAACTCAGCTGCTGGTTAATGATGACCGTGCTTGTTTGAACAGTAGCGCACTATGTAGGGGACACTGAGTGATTTGAGACGGAGTTATTCTCTTCTCAGAAAGTAAACACTGCAAGCGAGAAAGCGGAGCTGTGCAGATTGAACTTTTGCAGCGTCTCGTTCCAGAGCTCATTTTGGAGACACTGCTCCACAGAAATGTGTTAAAAGCTTTAGTTTCGATTCACAGTTGATTCACCGATTGTTTTTTCTTTTTTTGACGCTAAAAGCTTCATTTTATATTATTAACGAACCATAAGCATAAGTTAAACCACACAAACCATGACATTTCTTCTATTTTGAAGTCCCCACAGACTTTTCCGTTAAAGTTAACCTTGCATTCTTGCAAGTAGCGGGTGGTGGTCGCGAAGATGACTCGTAGGGTTTGATGTGTTGCCCCCTTTCGCCGCTGTTTTCTTTAGGCCTGTTCTGCAGACAGGGTGGTCATCTTCAATTAACTTTCCTTCTGCATTCTTATAAAACCCAAAACATGACCAAACGTCAGACTTGGTCTTCTTAGAAGGCTGAAATATCTCTGAATCTCCGAGGTTTTCACACCGCGGTAATCGACCGCGGTTTTAACGATACTTTAAAGTTCAAACGGTACTACTAACCGTCATTAATTTTACCGCGGTTTACCGTGAAACCGGTAACCGTTTCAACTCTAAGTGCAATCATACATAACCCTAGTCAACTAAATGTTGATTTAGGATGAAATGTCACCACATTTTTATGGACATCTCATGTACATGCGTTTGGCCCTGTTGATGTGTCAGGTGCAATTATCTGCTCTTGTTTTTCACTTTGCAGAGCTCTGTCTCTCTCTTTTCTGTCATCTTGTTTTGGGTTCAAAGCTACAGAGCTGATCACATTGCATCAAAATAGGACCACAAATCACAAACAGCAAGGCAAGAGTAGCGGACAACATTTAAGTGGCGCCTTCTGTAAACAAATATACTATACTATACTATATATAATATAAAAATAACTTCAAAGTTCCACCTCAATTCATTCAGCTAAATTAACCAGCAGCTGAGTTCAGCCAAGAAATTCAAGTATACATTTTAAGCAGATTTTTCAAATACCTAATTTAATTTGGTTGAATTTAAATGTGAATTTACTTTTCAAATTGACCTTAATGCAACATAACTCATGATTTAAAATTCAGATTAGCTGAAATAATTTAGATTCTCCTTGATATGTGTTCTATGTTCTATTGTAAATAAAATATGGGTCTATGAGATTTGCAAATCATTGCATTCTGTTTTTATTTACATTTATTTACATTTTTCACAGAATCCCAACATTTATATATATATATACACACAATATTGCCAAAAGTATTCACTTGTCTGTCTTCACACACATATGAACTTGAGTGACATCCCATTCTTAATCCATAGGGTTTAATATGATGTCGGCCCACCCTTTGCAGCTATAACAGCTTCAACTCTTCTGGGAAGGCTTTCCACAAGGTTTAGGAGTGTGTTTATGGGAATTTTTGACCATTCTTCTAGAAGCGCATTTGTGAGGTCAGACACTGATGTTGGACGAGAAGGCCTGGCTCGCAGTTTCCGCTCTAATTCATCCCCAAGGTGTTCTATTGGGTTGAGGTCAGGACTCTGTGCAGGCCAGTCAAGTTCTTCCACACCAAACTCACTCATCCATGTCTTTATGGACCTTGCTTTGTGCACTGATGCACAGTCATGTTGGAACAGGAAGGGGCCATCCCCAAACTGTTCCCACAAAGTTGGGAGCATGAAATTGTCCAAAATCTCTTAGTAAGCTAAAGCATTAATAGTTCCTTTCACTGGAACTAAGGGGCCGAGCCCAACTCCTAAAGATAAATTAGGTGTTTGTTCCTGATTTTTTACATGTTTGTAAACTATATTTTACATTTAAAAGTTTGGAAGTAGACTCATTTTTAAATGTGAGCAAACGTGACATACAGCATGATATTTACTTTTACTTTTAAAACTTGCATAGCTACATTTAAGCTCAAGCTCTTTTTTTCTTATTTCGACAATCAGATTGAAGGATTTCCATCTTCCACCGCTGCCGACTGCAACAGGCAGGTCACCTTTTATCCAGCATCATTTCTGAGGGAGGGTGTGCAGCATTCTTGGATAGCTCGAGTGCTCCCTCCTGCGGTTGACAAGAAATATTACTGTAACTGGGAGGACAACACAAGTGTTTTGAGAGGCAGTATCATAGCCGCGGCCTAAAATAGCGTTTTAAAAGCCGAAATTGACAAAAAAGAAAACGTTCTACAAGCGATACTACAATCGAATAGCATCACAACTGTTTTAAGGAAACTGTCATATCATCCTTGCACTCTGAGAAGGTAAGTGGACGTGACAGTTACATTTTACATTACAGGCTAGTGTAGGCCCATAATAGATTACGTCGTAATATGCTACATTGTTTGGCACCAATGTAAACACTACTTGTATAGCGCCGTACAACGGTACGCTGTAGCTGTCATTATAACTTTTATAGGCTGTAATATAAAAAATCTATACATACATTTCACGCTGCTTTTGAAAAATAACAGTCTTGGCTATATAATGCATGGCTCGTTTAGCCTGATCCTTGTTGTTTAGACTATTTGTGTAAGTTCTTGCAGCTCAAGTCAATGCAGCATTCAACTAGGGCAGTGCGTAATAGTCTTTAACGATGTGTTAAATATATTGTCGCCCACTGATAATACTTAATGCGCAGTTCTTTATTTTCTTTCTGTTAACAATAGTAAGCGACTTTGCGTCTCTGAACGTCGTCAGCCCTTTTCTCAAAATGAAATAGACTGTCAAACTCTTCCAGTGTCTCGAAATGAAACAGACAGGGTTACTACTATCAATACCAAAGGGTAATCGCTAAGTTATACAGCTGTTTTGTAATGACCTTTAAATCTCAGTAACAGGGGTTTCCAGACTACAACTTAATAGAGAGGACTACAATGAGATTCCTGGATACAGCGCTTTTTCTCGTTTTTACGCTGGGCTGTGTGACCATTGGTCAGATCAACGGCAAAGGTATAGCTTTTTATTACTTCTGTTACAACACTGAATGTGTTAGTATTACTGTGGACTAGTATGTTGTTCACTTTTCCATCTGCCTCCTTTTAGAGACATCTAAGAAAAATGTTTTCCTATTTTAATAAGAATGTGATTGGCTATTTTAATAATTATTTAGTTCAATAATAAAATGAAACAGTTAATTGCAGTTAATGGTAACATTTTTGGGAACACTAACACTGGCTAGTCATTTGTTAAGTTAGAGTTTATTTGTGATTCTTATTGAGCTATTTCACCTCCCACAAAAGACAAGTATCCAACAGGACACTTAATGCTCTGTAATTTTGCTTTGGTAAGTCTTCAAAGTAGGTTATTACATGTGAAAGCAGAGCAATAGTTAAACTTTGTTGACCAAAGAGTATTTCTAATGCATCAGCCAATGAAACACTACAGATTCAGACATTTGGATTTAAAGAAATTAGTCATTTAAAAATCAAATTTACATAATTACAATTACAGAAAACATAGTGGATTGGCCAAGATATATTTGGTTTTGGAAGATATAGACCTCCATTACATTTTAGTCACATTAACCTTGCAGATCCAATGCAAAACTAATGAAGCAAACATGTCTTGGCCAATCAACAATTACAAACCACTCCTCATCCTGTAATACATCTTAGGCACAGTGTTTTTGGACCAGAAGGAGGCCAGTGAAGTCATAAGCCGTCAGAAGAGAGCCAACGCAGGAGATGAGGAAAATACACTCCCTGCCAGCCTCGAGAGGGAATGTCTTGAAGAGGTCTGCAGCTATGAAGAAGCAAGAGAGGTGTTTGAGGACACATATCGCACTGTGAGTCTCTGGGATTGCATTTCATTCAGCTTCTCCATTCTAAAAAACAGTACCATATAGTGGAGAGCAGTGTACAATCTTATTGAGGGTAAAATGTAATACATTTATAATGTCCATTAACAGATTTAATTAAGACTTGCTTTTGGACACATTCTCATATTCCTATAGCAACGTAATCTGAGAATTTTAAAAGGTATCTGACAGACATTCAAAAATTCAGCAAAATTCTGATGACTTTTGTTTTATATCATGAAAGAAACTTTTTTTTTGTAAATTTGTAAGTAAACAATGAGCGCAGTCACACATCCCCAGTAAATTCAAAACAATCTTTTTACTTTTTTATATGTAGATTAATACAATATATATTTTATTTTGTCATGCTAATATTTGCTGTGGTAAAACAGTAACTATTTTTTAATTATCATTATTTTGAAGCAAAGATATTTTTATCTATTTGTTATTTTTTTCATTTATTATAATTAGAAAACAAATTTGAGTTTACAGTTTGTTGGATTCTCTAGCAAATGTTAAATCTTGTTCCTCAGTCTATGATGTAAGTTGTTTTAGGTTTATTTTGTTTTAGCAAGTTAAAATGAGCAAAATAGCAAAATATGCTCTGCTCTCCCCTAAGCTGGTACGTGCCATTTTAAATTGGCACTCTTTTAAAAGAGTTTCAGGCAACTCTTACGAATGTATGTGAATTTTGTTGTATGTAGCTTTTAAACCATCTAACTATTGCATGTAACTAAATATAGACTTTCTTTTTTCTGAAGGATATCTTCTGGTCTGTGTACATTGGTAAGTAGATGTTGTTTTAGATAATACCATAGAATTAGTTTACTGTGAGGGATATAAAATTAAACAGGTATGAAGAAAAAATGTCCTATTAACAGAAACAGAAACAGAATCTACCACTAATATAGAGTATACAATTCACATTGTTTACTTAAAATTGTTTTTGCAGGGTCAGTTCTCCAGATCAAAATACACAAAATACATGTTCAACAGTTTGTAGATGTCACTTCTAATTAATACCATTGATTTTCAAAAGAAACAATGGACGAGTATGTGTCTATAAACTTTTGAACATATCTACATATTTGTCATTTTTGTTTGTTTGTTTTCTTTGTGTCATTTTACAGACGGAGATCAGTGTGCTGATCAGCCATGTAAAAATGGAGCCATGTGCTCAGACAGTGTTGGAGGTTATGACTGTATTTGCAAATCGGGATTTTCAGGAGTCCACTGTGAGACAGGTATGAAAAAGGAAATGCTAACTTGTCTAAAGGTGATAAGATGCACATTTGTTTCTTAACAACAGCCATTTGTAGTTGGTGATTGTATTCACGACTGCAGACAAAAATGCAAAGACGTTGATATTTCTCTATGAATAGTTCTTTTACTATGGTATTTTGTCCCTTGCCTGATTTATTTGTTTTGATCATTATTTGTCTCTCACTCAGATCAGACAGTATGTGTCATAGAGAAGAACAAAGGATGTAGCCAGTTTTGTAAGCCTGGCTTCCAGTCATATGAATGTTCCTGTGCCCATGGCTGGAAGCTGCAGCAGAAAGAGAAATGTGTGCCTGCTGGTGAGTACCATTTGCCCTTTCTGGCTGTCTAGTACGCATAGTCAAGACATTCTGATCAATGAAAATATAGAATTATACATAACACAATAATACAAAAAACATTTGAAAAATGAAAATGCTATTAAAAAACAGTGCCCTTCAGAGTAATTGTCACCCTTGAAAGATGATGAGAAAAGGGCTCTGGATTTAGAAAGGGGTTTGTGGACACTTCCTCTTTTAATGTTTTTTCCAAAATCAAGGGTATTAGCAGCCTCAAGCTAATCCCAAAGCTAATCAATGGCACTTTATCGCTACAGGGAACATTTCACTTCTTTTCAGACCAATGCTGGGGACTTCTCTAGCTGCCACTAGGCACTAAACATGGTGAATTTAGGCTCATATGTGGCTACTCCAGAATATACAAGCTGTGTGTGCAATTGGATTCACTAATTAGAAAAAGTGCCTGGATGCTTTTGGATATATAGTGTGACAAACTTTTTTCCCCTTTTTTTGTTTGCTATATTTTTTACTTCCTTATTTCACAACCACTACTTGTCTTATAACTGCATAGATTTTGGCAAATTTTGGCAAAATGTAAATGGGAAACAGTGCCTCTCTTACAGTGCCTTTCTTCTTTGCAATTGCATATTTTCACCTACCACACTTATTCTGTGTTAAAATGCCTTTCAAAATGCAATTTCAATCAGATTGCATTGCCAATTTCATGGTCTTCCCAACCTGTCAGTCATCCTGTCAGGGTGGGGCTAACAGCATGCTCAGTTAAAAAGGCTTTATCTGAAAACATGGTGGCCAATCTATCTTCAGAAGATGGTGTAAACAGAGCAATACACTGGGTAGCACTGTCACCTCACAGCAGGAAGGACTTGAGTTCAATTCCTCAGCTGGGTGATCAGCGTCCTTTCTGTGTGGAGTTTGCATGTTATCACCTAGGTATCAGTGTGTGTGATTGTAAATGTTTGTGTGTCTATTCAGCTATGGGGTCTCTAATGTCCTGCTTTCCTTTTTAAAAATGAATATTACAAAATTTGTTGATATATATGTGTGATACAGTGAGCTGGATCATGTTAGCCAGCTGATAAAAACAGCAGATGGGGGCTTTTTTTGGAATGTAGCTTTAGCTGGCATTAACAATGGCTTTTAGCTAGCTTAATTCTGCAACCATCCTCAATTCACGTAGTGTATTAGCAGGTGAGCTGATGGCAGAGCAATATATTCACCTCTGATGCTTACTTTGTGGAAGATATCCAACCTCACTTTCAGCCACCGTTCTTAGTTTATGAAAAGAAGCTGAAGTTAGCTTCTTTTTAGAATTTTCCGCTCCACCAAGTTCCAAGTTCTGCTGTAACATTTTGGTGCAACGCTTTGTGGCACCAGAATGTAACTACTGCACTGTTTAAGGTGGAATGGAAAATCTGAAAAAGAAGCTGATGAGAAGGAGGCAAAGTTCAGCTTCATTTTTATCAACCAGTTTGATAAATCAGAAAACTTCAGATTAAACACTTTCTCATGGGGTCCAGTGTAAAGACATTAAGCATCACAAGTGGCTATATTTCTCTTCTTCACCTCATCTGTTAACATATGAGTAACTCTTCAACCACCATGTTTTTAGATAATGATTTGCTTCCATACTTTGATATGTATACATTGTTAGGCGTTTCCATAATTTTATCCACCCTCTGTATGGATGTTGATGTTTTAATAGTTATGTACTTATGTATTATTAGTTATTATAGAATTATATTATGTTTATATTATATATGTTATTGATTGATTATATTATTTTGACAATAAGTATATTTCATGCAAGGTTGCAATTTATTATATTGTCAAGTGGGCTATTTACAAGTGTTCTGTAGACAAATAATGGTTGATACAGGTTTTTTTTTTTCAGTGCCATTTCCTTGTGGGAGGGTGAGCAGTTTGAGGCAGTGGGAAAACAGGCAGTCCAACAACTTAAAGTCTGACTATCAAGGACTGAATTGCAATGTTGAAGAGTGCCCCTGGCAGGTACAAATCCTCAAACACTTAGCATAAGTTAACATTTCTAATAAAAAAGAGTGACATGCAAACTTTGCAGCCATTTGTGTAATCCTTCTGTCATCATAAAGGCTTTGCTGCGTAGTAGTGGTTCAAATGGATTTTGCAGCGGTGTCATCCTCAAGGAGAACCTTGTTTTGACTACTGCACAGTGTGTCCGCAAGTATATTGACTTTCAAGTGGCTGTGGGTGAGTAACAAGCACTTATGCCAACTTATGTACAGTTATGTACAGTATAAAATGGGTACTGTTTGCAGTGGCTGCATTTTGAAAACAAAAATATAACTGGAAAGTAAAACAAATTGGTACCCCTTTATAATAAGTCATCCCTAATAAAGGATTTATGTATGGTTTATTATTATTTTTTTAATGGTTTATTAATTAGGTCTTAAATACAACAAAGAGGTATAGCGCATGACTAAAAGGGCAACAGTGACCTGTTATATTTGATGAATATGAATAGCTGATGAAACTGACAGGTATAATGCTGTCTGATGTGAACTCAAAGTAAGATAAGTAACCAAGTCAAGAAAAATCAAGTCAAGTTATTTAAATAGTCCTTTTTTTAACAGGCGTTGTCACAAAGCAGCTTTACAGAACAGCTATTTCCAAGCCCCACTGAGCAAGCCTAGGGCAACAATGGCAAGGAAAAAGCAAGGGGAAGAATCCTTGAGAGGCACCAAGGCAATGGTTAATAATCTTAAAAAAAAATATTATAAACAATGAGGATCTAAGGTTTAACAGTATATATCATCATGGGCTCATTATTTGCAAAGTAACAGGTTACCTTGTTGCCTTTTTAGATATGTGTTATAACTGTTTATTAATATTTTTTAGGGTGTTTATGACTCAGTTATAGAATATCAATAAACTAATTGTAAGCCATTCATAAACCATCAATGAGGGTAGTCTTGTTGTAAAGTGGTACGAACAAAGATTTTTAAATTTATTTTGAATTAATTACTTTTCATTGTAATATAAGTGCAAATAATGTTTGCTAATTCTTTGTTACTTCTATTAAACAGTGTACAAATTTCTGTATGTTTTCTTCTACAGGCAAGAGGTTGCCAACTTATGAACCTGGAGAGCAGAGCCTCTATGTAAAGCAAGTCCATGTGCATCCTCTTTACATGGAAGATAAACCAGACAATGACCTTGCTGTGGTGGAACTGAAAGACAGGATTATCTTTAAGAAGACTGTATTGCCAGTTTGCCTTCCCGATAGAGACTTTGCAGACAGTGTGTTGATGTCAGGCGAGCACATGGGTGTGGTTACTGGCTGGAAAGATTCATCACAGCTTCATGGAAACCTTATGCTAAATCACCTGTCTTACAACAAACTGTCAACTTGTGTGGAGCGTCACTCTGGCCAGGTTAGTAGATTAGTTTAATAACAATAAAATTCAGCTGTACAGTATAGTGATGCAATTTCCTGGTTTAGAACTCTTAACAAAAAAGGTCTATTGACTACTTGAAAATTAACAATGAAGACATTTGAAATTTATATTGAGCTTTATTTACAGCACCAGTTTAATAATAGAAACAAAGCAGAGCTTATGTTGTCATTCAGAAATGGTCTGTGGTTGGTCATTTTGTATGTCAGTCACATGGCTCCTTCTTGTCAAAGTAGCTGGTTCTTGCCAACTTTTAACAAAAAACCTTCCAAGACTCACCAAGTAAGTGTTTTGTGCATATTTAGCGTTTATCTTGCACTAACACGCTCACTTAAATTCAAGAAGGGTTTGCTGTTGCTGATTAATTGAATCCGTTGTGTTAGAGCAGAGATAACACAAAAAATATGCAAGACAGGGGGCTACATATTAGTATATGCAGTTACCATTTTACAACCCTATTTCCAAAAAAGTTGGGACGCTGCGCAAAATGTAAGTAAAAACAAAATGCAATGATGTGCAAATCATTTAAACCCTGTATTTCATTGAAAATAGTACTAAGACAACATATCAAACGTTGAAAGTGAGAAATTTCATTGTTTTTGAAAAATATATGCTCATTTTGAATTTGATGCCAAAAACACGTTCCAAAAAAGTTGGGACAGGGGCAACAAAAGGATGTTAAAGTTGTGTAATGCTAAAAAAAACACCTGGTGGTTAATTAGCAACAGGTCAGTAACATGACTGGGTACAAAAAAGCATCCCAGAGAGGCTGATTCTTTCAGAAGTAAAGATGAGGAGGGGTTCACCACTCTGTGAAAGACTGCACAAGCAAATAGTACAACAACTCAAGATTAATGTTTCTCAGTGTAAAATAGCAAGAACTTTTGCTTTTCATCATCTATGATACATAACATTAAAAGATTCTGAGAATATGGAGAAATCTCTGTGTGCAAGGGACAAGGCCAAAAACCAGTATTTGCTGGCCATGATCTTTGGGCCCTCAGGCAGCACTACATTAAAAACAGACATGATTCTGTAGAGGAAATCACTGCTTGAGCTCAGAAACACTTCTGAAAAACACTGTCTGTGAAAACAGTTTTTTCGCTGAATCCACAAATGCAAGTTAAAACTCTAAAACACAAAGAGGAAACTGTACATAAACAGGACCCAGAAACACCTTCTCTGGGCCTGAGCTCATTTAAAATGGACTAAGTGGAAAAGTGTCCTGTGGTCTGACAAATCAACATTTGAAATTGTTTTTGGAAATCATGTACACTGTGTCCTCTGGGCTAAAGACCACTCAGCTTGTTATCAGTGCACTGTGTAGCTGTTTAGCTGTGAAATGCAGTAATAATATCTGGTTCTGTATGAAGTGATCAGCATGATTATTAGTGAAATATATTACAGTAAAAAATCAAAGCTGGGTAAATTGCTGATGTTGCTACTGATTTTAACGGTAGAAATGTTCTGAACTGATATTAGTGAAAATATACAGTTTGAAGGCTGTGAATGTGTTTGCTGTCTGTAGAGGTTCACACCTATTAATGTAAGCTAGAGTCCAGGGAGCTGAAAGGCAGCAGGACTCTCACTAAAATTATATTATTAATTAGGCGATATACTTGTTATTTTGAATAGTTTTTTCTTTTAAATAAACTTAATTAAACAGTAACAGCCTCTGCACAGTCTTTCAGGGATTCTAAAATACTTCATTGGAAACAGATAAACTAGGACATTATTTAATCATCTAACCATGAAATGCATGCAGTGTAATGTAAACCTTGTCCCTTACACAGTTCACAGAAAGGTGTGTAAATGTGCACTAGCAGAGCAGACTGTGATCAGTTTCAGCTCTCAGAACTTTTCCCCACATATTATCATGTTTTACTTTAGTGTTTTTCTGTACAGATTATTTCCAGTGATTTTGCAGAGTCAGCTCAGAAATATTTTCAGGTTATGACAGCGGAAATACGAAGTAACTCAGTACTTAAATAGTTTTTTAATTAAGCACTCATTTACTCTTACTTGAGTAGTTTATTTACTAATACTTGAGTAAATTATCACTACAGTAACAGTACTCATATATTGAGTAAGAATTTTCAGTACTCTTTACACCCCTGCACCCACTGATAACATTTGGCACATTAAGAAATGAAAAATATGACAAAGGAAACCCCAAACTGTTGAGCAGCTCAAAACCTATATCAAACAAGAATGAGAAAACATTAAACTTTCAGAACTACAGCAATAGGTCTCCTCAGTTCCCAAACACTTACAGAATGTTAAAAGAAGAGGTGATGAAACACAGTGGTAAACATGCCCCCGTTCCAACTTTTTTGGAACGTGTTGTTGGCATCAAATTCAAAATAAAATTTCTCAGTTTCAACATTTGATATGTTGTCTTTGTAGTATTTTCCTTTAAAAATATGGTTTATATGATTTGCATATCATTGCATTGTATTTTTATTTACATTCTGCCCAGCGTCCCAACTTTTTTGGAAATGGGGTTGTAATATTTTGAAATAAAATTCACTTCAAATCCTGTACTTGAGTTAAAGCAGAGATGCTCTTTGTAAAATATATTCATTGAATAAAAGTAGAAGACCTCTATTTATATTTCTATTTGACTTAAAGGACAACAGTTTTGGGGTTTTTGAATGTATTTATTTACAAAATTAAAAGAACTGTGGATTATTCTGATTTAAGGGCAACAACAACCTACAACAACTTGAGTTGCTACACACATGAAAGCAAGGCAAATCTTTAAAAATATTTTTAAAAAATAGGAAAACTTCACAAATAATGACATTTATCAGATGTTACATTTTCAATAGTTCAGAATAACATGTTCAATATGTGTCCAAAGCATATAAGACTGTCTCAGTATCCATGTCAGTACTTGTGTGTCCAGTACAATCAGCTGCCTACAAACACTGCTGCTAGTGAGACCACAGACTGCACTATAATACCATGGAATTTATTATAACTTTTATTATTTTTACATGTTGGGAATATGATTTTCTCTTTGGTCTTAGAAACACAAAATAAAATCACAAATTACAAGTTTAATAGGTGATTATGAGAACTCAGTCAACTACTTCTGCCCATCCATAATACAGTTTTCATTTTGAGGTTGACAGTGAACATGTACAAAGGTGTAATAGCCTTATTTTTTCTGTTTTCAAGGTTACTAACAAGATGGCATGCACCCTGCCACGTCCTAAGGCTGACTGCATTTTTGGCCCTGGCAGCCCTGTCCTCACATTGTACCGAGAAGTCTTCTTCCTCACTGGCATGGTGAGCCAGTTTCAAAATATGGATTGCAAGAATGGTTATGTCCTTCAGAAAGTGTCTCGCTTCCTTCCCTGGTTGAAGCCTCTAATGAACTCTATATAAAAGGTGGTAAATGATAATCTCAGAAGTTGTACTTACATATATGAGAAGTGTCTTAATTTGTGATATGTGTCATCTTAATGTATCTGTTCCCACTATGCAGCAGTGCTTGATGTCATTGTTCTCTTTTAATCTAATAGTTAAGTGTGTTCAAGCCAATCAGTTTTTCTTAGGAATGACACATTGATTGATATCATACCTCATGTATGTTTTTATGTGTTTTTTAATTTTCCTCACAAGTCTGTTTTTCATTTTCTGTAATCTGTCAAAAGGAATCTACACATGTACAGCTATAATATTGCACAAATATAGACAAATATAAGACTTCTTTGCATGACTTCTGTCATAATTATTCATAGCAATCCAGTATATGGCAACTACATCTTTCCTATGTTCTCTATGTTCATCATGCAATACAACATAGCTATACATAGACACTTTGCATTAGGCACAGTCTCAGAATGATCATTTATCATATTAACATACAGCTACATTTCCCATCTAACACTACAAAGTAATGGTGTAGTGTTATTATTGTTAGACACATGATTAAACCAACCATTAAAAAATTTTAACCAGAACTGTTTCATAAAGGTGATTGTTTTCTTATTTAGAACCACTGTACTTTGATTTATTTGTATCTCAAAGAAGTACGACAAGCTAGAAGGTTATGAATTGAATGAATAAGGTTAAATACGGTGTTGAAAAAGGTTCAGTACATACATATTTTCAATTTCACAATGCTTATAAAGATTGATATTTGCATCTTTAAGACTAGGAATTTAACCTTTGTCATTAAGTGGGTCTTGGTAAGTTTGATTGACTGTTTAACTGTTTTAGGAAAAGTCTTTATTAATGAAACGTGAAACTTTTTTTTTTTTTTTATAACGTAGTTGACTGTAATTCCTTATTTCCTAGTTGTGCCTACTTAATCACCACACAGTTAAGGCTGGCTGAAAGTACACAGTAAAGAATACAAACAAAAAACCTATTCTTATACTCTCTGATAGTCTGTGCACCAGGAGTCTAGTTCTTTTCATTCTGTTGCTATGGTATCCTCCTAGGAGAGTACTCCTGGTCTCCAAAAATCTTCTTGCTCTTTTTGAAAGCACCCAATAGAAATTAATCACCCTAGGGCCCCTTCCTTCCTGTGCCTGGTCCTGGAACATAGCTCTCCCACTCCTGCATGCTGCCCAGCCTGCAGATAAGCCTTTATAGCTCCAAAATAATATGGAAATGACAGGAGGAGACTTAATGGGATAGAGCTCTACATGAATAGGTAATAACAGTTCTTTTAAAAGCTGTTCGGAGAGGTGTTTAGGCTACTGTGGTCGTTTAGGATGCAGTCCATGATCATCTACAAAACATACCATCTACCATCAGTGGAATATGGTAGCATGGCTTCCAGGGGAACTGGCTCCTTTGTCTTTCAAAGATGTGACTGCCAACAGCATCAGCAGGATGAATGCTGATTACTGGAGAAAAAACTTCTGAAACTCCTGAAACAAAAAAAGCCCCCAAAACAAACAGGAAAACAAGCCCAGCAAAAGATTTGTAAACAAGTAATAAACATGGTAGGTGTGTTCTGACTCCCATATTGTTCACACAATAGGGATGTATAATTTAAAGCTGACATTGTGCACATTAGTCCCATAATATTTGTTTCATTTTAAATACAAAATGTGGTACAAATTACTAAGCCAAATAAAAAAACTTGGAATGTCTTTTGTTCTTTTATCCTGAAATTGGTGTGTTTAAATGTGGAAGGGCAGTGTTGAAACAAAAGCTAAACTATATTCTGAAGAATAACAGGAGGCTTGTGCAATGTGAATTTGTAGAGTGTTAGCCAAAAGCTTGCTAAGATGAACATCAGGCCTTATTTAAAATATTTAATGTACAGAGTGAAACAGTAAGTAATTACAAGGTGATGATACTTAGCTACAGTATGAATTTGTGCCAAATTATGGTTAACATAGCTGACTATGAAGTTTTTGCTGGGTTGTTATTGCTTTTTAGCTAGCTAACTTGTGGGTTACATTAAGTAAAGAAAATGTAATTTTAGTCCATTTGAAATTTAAGAAAGATCCACAGATGGGAGTGGATGGGAATTAACAAAAGGGGATGAAAATAGCCAGAGCTGGTCCTGACCTCCTTGTGGCCCCAAGCAAAATTCTGTAAAGGAACCATCCTACCTGACCCATGAGCCTTGTACACTATTTGCAGTTGCCACACAGTCACACGTGACACCTTACTGCTCCCATTATAGTCCTCCATCCATTAAAACAGTTTCCTTTATTTGTTGGTCTATGAATAAGTCAACCTATACAGAACAGAATGAGGTTCAAGCAAACAATAATTAAAATTATTGATACTACTATTATTAATTTCATCAGCTGCATCAGGCCCATTCCAACTGGCTCCCCCAGATTTTCTTTTTGTACATTCATATACAATACTATTTACACGATGGCTCGGTTAAACAATATTATTGAATATTGTTGAATATATTAATGTTACATTTTATGATGCCTATATTATTTACCAAGAGATATGCACACATTTTGCCCAGTTTTCTTATCACTATAGCACTATGGCAAGTATCTACATAAATCTACACTTAGGATAAGTCTTAATAAAAGAGTCTGACACCTGGACTACAAAAAACAGAGAGGTTTAGTCTCTCAAGCTCAAAGTCCCGTTGCATGTACAGCTGAAAAATAGCATCAATGACCAACAGCAGTTTTAAATCTTTAACCAAGGTTGAAGAATTCATTTACTTTTTTATGATGATTCATTGGTTTTCATACACAACCTACTGTCTTGTTCATGTATAACTGGCTATAAATATGCTCTCACAGTAGCTATTGATTAGTAGTCTAATCAGTCCATCTCTGTGGGAATGGGAGGAAACTGAGTTACTTTCTGGACAAGCTTTGACAGTTGAACTGCCACATTGGGTAAGATAGCTCCACCCACTGTACTGGGCTGATTTTTTCTAAACTCAATTTACTTACTTTAATTTCTTCTTTTTACATTTACAATTCCAATGACCTGTTTTGCCACATTAGCAGCACGCATTATCCTGAGATCTTCTGCCTTGCTGACAAATTTTTTTCCTGGGCAACATTCAGCACCCCAACTGATATGTGCAGCATTACACTGGAGTCCCTTTCACATGCTGGTAGACCTTGGGACACCTCAGCTTGTGAAGTCCCACCATCAGCTCTTTGAACAGCTTACTGCTTTTAATTTAGAATAATTTAATATATTTGTGTTTTTTGTTTTTTCTTTAGCTGCACAATCAGAATAGCCCCCCAGAAAAAATGTTTCCTTCTTTGACAACTACTGGAGCTGTTTACAGCAAGACCGGCCTGATCAGAACTGCTCCTCTTATTGTCACTCTCAAACCCTTAGCATGGTTCAGCAACTCATTTCCCTCTTTCTCTAGCAATTCAGCATTAGCTTGGAGGACACTGATAGAGCACTGAGTGTGTTCACATGTGTTCTGAGCACTGGTAACAGCATGTTTGTAATTTGAGCATTGCTCCATTATTCTGTCTATGTGTTGTTGTTTCTCTGTCATTACAAAAGAGTGCCATTGTCGCAACACCTGAACATACTCTTCCTTTTTCTTCACATATTTGCTTAGAACCATGAAACACTGCTCCTGACTCCATTCTAACTTCTCACACAAATTTTCTCCTTTTACCTTGAACACAATTTATGAACCTCCCACAGTCCAAAGACATGCAGTCAGGCTAACTGGAGCTGGTGACCTGTCCAGAGTGTATCCTGCCTTTCACCCAACGACCGCTGGGCTAGGCTCCAACTCCCCCCACAACCCAGAAGGATGAGCGGCTTAGAAAGTGTGTGTGTGTGTTTCTCTATCAGCATATGGCATAGACACATCTGCAGATTTTGAATTTGCCTGGAACCAGCATCCTTGGGATTAAAAGCCCAATATCCCAGGATGTTGCCCCATCCTGCCTGGGTTGGAAACCCAGTCTGCTTGCATGGTACCAAAAATCTGTAAAGCCCAGGATGTCGCTTCATCTTGCATGGGTCAGAAATCACTGTCCACCCACATCCTAGATTACTATTCTAAGGAAAACCCAACACTAACATGAGAAAAACAAACAAAAACTGACTCTCTTCCCATTTAGCAGTTATTTTTCACTGTTTCCCTGCAGTCAAAGAGGGAGATCCAAGATCCTGCTGACTATTTGTGGTAAATCTTCGTCCTTGCCAAAAGAAGAGTCTCAGGAGGCCACAGGATGCTGAGATGCTGGAAGATGGTTTTATTGTAGAGCTCTGAGATCCCAGCCTGTAACAATTCTGACAACGGGCTTCATACAGTGCAGTTGTTAATGATTATCTCTGTTGTAGTAAGTCAGGAGACACAGAAGTAAGTACTTTTCACTGAATAACTGATTTGAATACAGAGCTAGACCAGTCAGTATTTGCACTTATGATTAGTTATGGACTAAGATTAAATGAACAAAGACTCAGGATTGACACCCAGACAAGTCATCAGAGCTTTACAACTTAAGAATAAAAAGAAAGCAACATAAAAGACCCAGCATCTGATTTTTACAGACATAAAAAACACAGGTCAAGATTTGAAAATGCATGTTAGTACCGTCTTTCACTTGAAGTCTAAAGATGACTGACTGCGATTCTGCATTTAAACAAGTTTTAAACAGAGAAACATATATTTGTGTTAGGTGGATGCAATAATGACCAGGTTGACCAATCAAAGCTACACTGTCATGGTTGCTGCAGTAGTTTATTTGTGTGTTTTTAATGCTTGGGCGTCTGAGCTTAAGCTTTGTCGCCATTACCTTCAAGCACTTCATTGCTGTTACTGCTCAATGAATACATCTCCTTCTCCCATTGCTCTCAGAGTGGTATCAGAACTGGGATAGTGCCCCGCCCCCAGTGGTCTGAAGTGGAAGGGCGCTTTGAAGAACTTCGAGACAGACCGCAAAGAAGACAGACCCGGCTAAAGACTGGTGGTGGAGACAACAAGTCACGGCTTGGCATGGGAGACAGCAAGACTTGATGTCAAGGCCGGCGGTGTGGGAAGGCTCAATGATGGGGCCAGTGCAAGGCTTAAAGATTGAGTCAGTGTGGGGAGGCTTGATGATGAGCAATGCAAATGTGAAACTGCCAATGGTTTTAGCATAGAAGCAGAGTGGCAAGCAGCGGAGCGTTTGGTGAGCCAGTGTTGCAGGACACTGAGCCAGTGGGGAAACGGAGTCTGACTGGGAGGTTCAGCGGCAGCCGCAGGCTGTGGGTTGAGTGCAGCATGGATGGCAGATGGCTCATTGCGCTCGCTGTCATGGGTTCGCTGATGTGTGTGTATGTGTTATTTGTGTTATGTGTTGGGATATAGGTTTAGTTGTGTGGGTTTGTGTGTTAACTGTGAAGTGGGAGTATAGAGCTGGTGGTGATCTCTCCTGCCATTTTTTGCTTCTGTACGTGCCTACTGGTGTTAATAAAAGAGCACTCTTGCAGCAGAATCATGGCCTCTCCTTTGTCTCCTTCTACTCTCAAGGTTTCTTCCTCTTGCTCTTAGGGAGTTTTTTCTTGCCACTGTCACCATTGGCTTACTCATGGGGGCTTGGTCTCGGATTTTTCTGTAAAGCTGCTTTGTGACAACACCTGTTGTAAAAAGTGCTATATAAATAAACTTTGAGTTGAAACTTTGACTACAATACTAATGCAGGACAGGTCACTTGCAGTCCTATATAAATCTCTAATAAATAATCCTACCTGCAACCAATCAAAATATGTGAAAGAACACAGCTAATATGATGTTTGGGACATGAAGTAGAAAGAGAAACGAGAAAGAGTTGGTGGCAGTTGTCTGTAGGCCTGTTGTTTGTAGGTTTTGTTATTTGAATAAGAAAATATTGACATAATCAATAACCAATATTTGTCCACTGTTGAGTCTCTCTCTGTCTCCATCAATAACTTAATGTGGAACCACTCTGAGCCATTTCCTAAACTCAGTGTAGTGATAATTTTCTGCCAGTTTAGTATCAATTATCTCATTAGGTAATTAGGTCAAAAAATTAAGGGAACGTATAAGGGTTTACTGCATTGAATTCCACAACAACACCATAACAAGGCTACATAGTTTGGAAGAGGCTGATGAACACATACACAAGCTATATAAGTAAATTAATAACATGAAAAGCAAAGGCAACATTAGATCTGCATTCAGTTCTCAGTTAGTGTTCAGTGTTTATCTCAAGTTGAATTAATCTCAAAGTATGATTAGAAAAGTCAAAGTTTGTGCAGTTTAGGAAAGGTCTGTGCAGTTTAATGCATGAGTCTCAATATCAATTGCAAATTGCAACCTCTTTGCAGGTTTTGGCTACCCTATAAAATTGTTTTGGTTATACATGTAATGTAGCTAGCTTTTGCCTTATTACAGTAGACATTTTACAGTGCAGACCTTTACAGTGCAGTAAAATCTATCAAGTTGTATAAAGTTATTATTTTGTTATTATTTTCCAAACACCCAAACCCCAGATACCACATTAACATGTCACGCTGCCAAAATTCAATATCACCCTCATGCCACCTCTGGTAAAACGTTCTAGATGTATGGGGCAGTGGCCCCATAGCCCATAGGGGTATGCCCCTATGCATAAATCTCTAGTGACACCCCTGATGACAACTGTTATTTTTTAACACAGCAATATGCGATACTATCACTAGATGTGCTAGGTGGTGAAGCAGCTAGCTAGCATTAACATTAACAGACACTGATGTTGGACAAGAGGACCTGGCTTGCAGTCTCTGTTTTAGTTCATGCCAAAGGTGTTTGATGAGGTTGAGGTCAGGGCTCTGTGGGGCCCAGTCAAGTTCTTCCACACCAAACTCACCCAACCATGCTTTTATGGACCTTGCTTTGTTTACTGGGGCTCAGTCATGCTGGAGCAGAAGAGGGCCTTCCCCAAAGTGTTCCCACAAAGTTGGAAGTATACAAATGTCCAAAATGTCTTGGTATGCTGAGGCATTAAGATTTCCCTTTACTTGAACTAAGAGGCCTCAGCCAACTCTCTGAGCTAAGGTGAAAAGAGAAAGCACTGAGTTTGAAATGCTGCCAACGGATAACAAGTGTGTTCTGTGCAAAAGACAGCTGGTAATAACATTCCTTCAAACAGGTTGATAAGTGTAATCCACACTTGTTAGTCACTTTGGATAAAAGCATCTGCCAAATGAGTAATTGTAAATGTAATCAAACAGGTGAAAGGGTTACAAGTATCTCAAGACAATACTTTGCAGGCCACAGTTATAATAATAATGCGACAAGGTTATAGACATAAATAGACAGAAGTTAGCCTTACATATCCAAATCAATTCTGTGTTATGGACATAATTTGCACCTTGCACAAAACATTGAGTGTTATTCAGTCCCACCAGCAAACATCACACCAGCCATGTAATCTGTAATCTATATATGTAATTTCTACCTTGCATGAAAAAATGAGCACTGTTCTGTCCCACCACAGCAAACTTTACACACCAGCTAAGAACTGTCTTCACTATAAACATTAAATTGTACGCAAAGGTTCTGGGAACCCTAATCAAATGACATGTCTTGTTCATTTTCTAAGTGAGAACAAGTTGACACCGCCACTACAGAGAGCACACTTCTGAACATTTTAATGCACAATTTAACATACTGGAAAAAATGTGGCCTGTGCAAAAGTTATAGCTCATTTTATACTTATTATTTTGTAAAACTCAGAAAATAAAAATTGTGTTCTAAAACTGCTGACAAAATATATTTGTTAGTTCCCTGTAGAGGACAACTTATTTTCACTTCAAACATAAAACAAATTATTACAAAGCATTAAAAAACAACAGAGCAGCTAGATGTCAGATTCACTCTGTCACTCTGTTCTGCAAGCTAGAGAAAGTAGTGAAGTTTGTCACAGTAGGACCAAAGGACTAGAGCGTTAATTCTGCTCTAATGCAGGGCACCATATGGACGAAAGCACTAACTGACCACGTTGTCTGGCACAGTGTTCATATGCCGCTTAAATGCAACATGTTACAGCAATATACAAAAATAGACTGAAAGTAATAAAACAAAAGGTAAAGTCTGTAACCTTTACTGTTGGTGATAAAGACATTGTCTGTCAAAGTCATAGCACTTTAAATATTCCATAGGCTCCATTTATATCAATGTATGGGATCATGTCTAAAGTGTGAGAGAGGTTCACACTCACAATAAGAGTTCACACTCGCAATAAGAGGGCCATCCTCTCCCACCCCAGTAATCCAAACACTAACCAACCATCCCCCAGTCAGTTTCTGAAAGGCCAGAGATCAAGTTCTTTCCAACACCCAAATCCCCCATAAAGCCCTACAATCTCTGAACATGCCCCTCTTATGTGCTTCTAGGGGCTCTGAGAAATAAGTTTGAGATTAAAGACTGCCACAGTATTGCTGGTGACATGAAGAATTTTATGCACATTTCCCCAGCTTCCATCGTTTTCCACACATTTGCATATATTCACTATATCCATGTTAAAACTGACAGACGTCACAACGTGGACAAATTCCATAGCAAAGTCCATTCTACATTTAAAGTAGAGGATTAAGTGAATGACACATCTGAGTGCCTCACTAAATTATCGTTGCCTTGAGTCCGCATTTTTTTACGGAAAAAAGTGGACACGGATTTTAGTGTAAATGTAATGTAAAATACGACCAGCAACACCATTATGAACACATGCAAAACGTAACTGCACGTCACGAGTGTGTGGAATTCAGCTGTGCTGAGCTGTGAAGGGGTGGGTGGGGCTACTGTCACTCACAGCACGCTTCTCTTGACTGATCGAATCGAACAGCTGAGGACATGCAGTTGAGCCAACTGGAAAACAGGAGACTGATTACTAAAAGCCTCACCGCTTTTAACCGCTACTATATAAGCAGTCGTGGAATATAGTGTAGCGGACTTTATTTAAGGATAATCATATTTTTTCAAGTGTGGCAGAGCTGTTTAGTGAGCGTAAAGCTCTTTGCATCTAAAGGACAATAGCCAGAACTGAGCTTGGAAACGTTGTCGTCGAATATCGACAGCTGCCACGGTCGACGAGTATTTCTCCAGCCAAGAAGGGCAACGGAGGATTTCGTTGCTTTCTGAAAGCGTCAGGTTTTATCCAACAAGCACCGCAAATCAGACAACACCGAACGCCAGTTTGTCAAATACGGATAATACAGTCTGTCGGGGATTGCTGAGGAAAGTGAGACTCGACTAGCGGTCGTTGCTGTGCGGTGCCCTTCCAGTGATCCAAGCGGATTAAATGAACGATATTTTTCTCCCTTGTGTAGGGTTCGGATCTTTTATTCGTTGAGGTATATTCTGGTTTGTTTAACAAGAAGGTGTTGTACACTAAACGCATTATTGAACAAAGGATCTACACGGATTACAGTCCTATTCTGCAACAGAATACGAATAAGAATCTCAGTGGACTCTTTACACTGTTTTGCAATGTGTATTAATGCAGTAACGCTTGTTTAAGGCTCCCAATAGAAATCTGCACCACAAAAAATAGTCACTCAGGTCGCATAGAAGTGGGCTGCTGAGACGTGTATAGGATAGATATTGCTAACATCACCAGGGTTGAAAATCCGAAATGTGACATTTTTCCATTTGCCCTCAAAAACGTCCGTCACGTAACCGCTGCATTTGCTTGCTGAGGATCTGTTTACACCGGTCAAGGTATGTTCATTTGCTATGACAGCTTTTGCACATCCTTTACTTTTTTGTTGTATAATGCTAATTTATTAATTAATTATTTCATTCTATTTCTGCATGTGTTTATGTATAGATTTCATTCATATCTGGGTGATACAAGTATAGCTAATTCATTATCAAATCATTATATATGTTGTGAAATTAAGTTGGGCTGAGATGTTTAATGAGCAGTTTAACTACTCGAAATAACCTGTTTTACGCACTGAAAGGTATTGTACATTTTTCCTAATAAGTGTTTTAATGAAGAAGGTGGAGTGCTGAGATCTCAGAGAAAAGATTTTGCCATGCTTTGACAACTAAAACTGGCCTAGCTCTTGTCAAATGCATAAGCATTTTGAACACAATTTCATCAGTTGTTTAGGGCAGTATCTAAGTGGGCAAAATTATACTAAAACAGCATTTCCTAACAGGATTATTATGGGGTCAGGGATCCTAAAAGCATTTTAAGGCCTAAGTACACCTTTTGACTTTTATTTCAGTCTTAAAGAAAACAGCACTCAGACAACATGAAAGAAAGTTGAATGTAGCTTGATTCTGTGTGTCTGCATAGCGTGGAATTACTTGACACTCATATATATATATATATATATATATATATATATATATATATATATATATATATATATATATATATATATATTGTGTCATGTTTTGTGCATGTGTATGTGTGTGTGTGTTGTTGTTGTTGTTTCTGCACCAGAGGTGGAGCTGTGTTTATTTTGATGTAAGCCTATGTTGTCCTGACTAGTCATAGAAAGAAGAAAGAGAGGCACAGGGAAGATATACAATCACACACACATATACATACAAACAAAAAAAGAGAGAGTAAACATGCTAATAGAAAAATATACTTGAATGTCAAAATATCTTCACATAACAAAGTAATTTCAACCGTAGAGTGTAAAGTCTCTAACAGCATTACTGGACTTTGTGGGAAAGCAGCATGTATTTAATCACTCTACTTTTGGATTTAACTAATGCAAATAACTAATAATGAACTAATGCAAATGTTGTTTGAATAACTTTATGCAACTGGAACCTACTGCTCTGTTCTTTGTAAGGATTCCTTTTTTAATCATAATCTAATTCAAACACAGAGATGGGGAAAAGATTCAATATATTGACTTTTAATTATGTCAATTGTTAGTTTGATGTTAATGTTAATGTGCCCTAATTACTAGAAGCAGAGATGCCTTGAGATAACTGAGGGAATAGCTGCACTTCCTAATCAATATAACAATTATTTGTTTCGCTCTTTCCCTTTCTGACCTGCATTTCTATAATTGACCAGGTCTGTTAATAACTGTGGAGTAAGAGATGGTACATGACTTGTAGACTTATGAAATGATTCTATCTTACTGGGATTTGTTAAAAATGACCTGACTGGATAGGTCCTGATGTAGAAGAGTTGTGTGAAGGTTTAATGACATTGCACATTTCTAAAAGTGATGTTGGGATAGTGGTTAGAGTGGTTAAAAAGGGTTAGAAAATTGGGAAGTGAAAAAAATGTAATCAGTGATGGAGACATTTGGAAATATCTACAGTTCACATTAATATACACAACAACCTGTATGATCCAGGTCACATTTTTATTGTATTACTTTCACTTCAGTAATTCCTTGTGGTCTATTAAACACAAGTTTGTTCATTATAAATGCTAAATTATAAATTACATTTAATTATATAGATATTCATTAATTAATTATATAAATTAATTGTCTTGTCCACTTTCAGAGTCCCTCATCCCTTTTGAGGCACACATCATACTTTTTAGAGAATGTTACACAGTTATATGTATTCATTACTAATAAGGGGTGAAATTGCCATATGGAACAAAGTGCCTCATTTGTGGAAGTTAGATTTATACCAGGCTTAAAGATAAATAAATCTTACTGCAAACATCCTACATGATGGGACGTTATGAGAATAAATGTTACAGAAACAGACTTGATTCTGGAATACATGGAAACATCAAGCACAAGCTTGGGTCTTGAGGACAAATGCTTTATCTAGTCTCTTTTCTACGATAATGTTTCATGTCTTCCCTGTTCTGACACACTAGATTTATCTCTTCCCAAAAGTACAAACATTATAATTAGTAGTTTAGCTTACCTGGAAGTACATGATTCTAGAGGATTTGCTGGTACTTACTCATGTTGCTAGCTAAAAATATACAATACAAAATGAAGCATTATATATAGATATCATATAAACTTTATTTACAGTTTTCAGGGCATTTGGATCACAAATTCAGGGCGTGGTAGCAGTTTTTGATAGTCCTATATTTGAGGATAATTAGGAGCATTCTTTGAATCAGTCTATTTCACTGAAATTATCACAGATCGATCCATTTCTGAAGCCCACATTTTTTTGCCAGTAATTAAAATAGTAAAATAGTAGTCTATTGCGCACATCAGTGAATTGTAACAGCAGAACTTCCAAGAAACACCATCAAAACAGGTGGAAAAGCTACAGATGGTTTGGTCTATAACAGTAATTGGTTTAACTCAATAGCATTTTTCACAATTTTTCACAAGACATAACAAACTGGTGATCATTCCTTGCTTTCATAATTTACTCTCTAAAATAGGCCATTGTAGCATTTCTAGGCTGTCAACATAGAATGGAGAGAGAGACTAGAGTTTCTGCAGTTGGGCATTACTGTAGAGAACCCACCCTGACTTAAAGGAGGATGCTGTGCTCTGGCCATGCAGTAGAACTGGAAAGAGCTGGTTTTTTTCTGTTACATAAGAGGAAAAGATAGAAGGAGGGAGAAATGAGTGAGGTAAGATAGTTGGAGAAAAGGAGGGGAGGGTGCATTTATGATTGGACAAGCGTTTGGAGAGGGAAGGGAGGGAAAGCAGCTCTTTCACAGCACATCTTCAAATGTGACAGCATCAGGAGCTCTAGCGGGGGAAGGTAGAGAGAGAAGGGAGTGGGCACTAATACTAAAAGCAATGGAGATTTAATTGGTGAGAAGGAGAGAGGGTTCCTTTCATTCTACTCGCAGGACCTTAACATTTCCAGTATCTCCAAAGTCTATACTGATGAGGGTCTGCTGCAGTTTTCTGTGCTTCTATGAGTGATTAGGTGTAAGAGGTGGATAATTGAGACAGACAGGCAGTGAAGGAGAGGTCTTCCCTAGTGTTTCTTAGTCTAAATAATTTCTGTGTGTTCATAAGCTTTGATTAATATTGGAAGTTATGGTTAGGGGGAGAAAGCTGTTGTTGATGTACAGAGCCCCTCTGCCCTTCCTCCCTACTGCTCTGTGAGATGATTTGCCATGGCAGTCATGGCCTCTGCCGGAATACAACATTAGGGGAACATGGCACTAGTGCTGTCTGAGGAAACACCCCCCATACCCACCCACCCCCAACAACCAACCTCACACACATTTGATTACTGCAACAGACTTATGCATTACAAAATGAAATCAGTCAGGATTTGTTTGTTTGTTTGTCAAAAGTAGAATATTATGTTTGTTTAAAAATATTATAAAAACAATATTATCACTTGACAGTAGATGATGTTCAATCAAATGACCATGGATATTACTATCCAGTATACTGGACATTGTAATTAAGCATGTAAAATCAACAAGATTTTCAAAAATAAATATATTTATTATCATTATGGATATGGTAATGTAAATCAGTGTATATGATTTGTGTTAAAAAGCTCTTTGTTATTATTATGATATAAAATTATTATGAAAATTATTTAATATTGTAGAAGCCATTCATACAGAAGTCTACATGATTTGTCATGGCAGGATTTTAAGTTTGCATGATGGACCTTAATATATTTTTTGCAGCCTTTCTGTGTGTTCCCGGCAGTTCCATTTCATTAACTTTTTGTGCACCTGTACACAAAGTAAACACAGGAACAGTTCAGTGCTTGCTTTGTGTTTTGATATGTTGGCAATAATAACTATGTTCATTTTTCAGAAACTCACATTTCATGTGCCTAAGTCCAAATGTCCAGTATACTGGACACTGAATATTACATGTTTTCTAGTAAACAAAAAATTCAATTCACATATATTATATTATTTAGTATGCAGCAGAGAACATGTTTCACAGGAAAACACTTTCGTTTTTGAAGTGTTTAGTCTCAGGACTGAGGATGATAAGCTCATTCTGAAATTAATTCCTGCTACACATTCAAAAATGTTGGGACTGGGGCTCATGAAGTCTAGGAATGTTGTGAAATATTTAAAAAAACATTATACTTGAGTATATAAAGAGCATAGGCATAGTCTTCTGTGAGCTAGGATGGGTTAAAACTTGCCACTTTGCCAAAAAATGCATAGGTGAATAATCCAACAGTTTAAGAACAACATTCCACAGCGAGCGACTGCAAAGATTTTTGGATGTTCCACCCTTTATGGTGAATAATATCATCAAAAGATTCAGGGAATCTCTGTGTGTAAAGGGCGATGCCAAAAATCACAACTGATTGATCATGACCTTTGATCCCTCAAACGGCACTGCATTGAACACTGGCATGCTTCTGTGAAGGATATCACCGCATAGACACAGAAAAACCATTGTCAAGAAACACTTTTTGTTACTGCATCCACCTCTTTTTTAATGTGCTGCATGCATCAAATTGTAATGAGTGTGTGTTTACAAAAAGAACAATATAATTTAAAAGGTAAAACATCATATGTGTTTTTATACTGTTTTGAATTTAATACAGGCCAAACAGAATTTACTAATTACTGCTTTTACTAGCAATTCACACACACAGAGAATGCAGACTGTACAAGGATGCAATAATCTGGATTCATTTCATTTTTTATACATATAATAATATAATATAATAATATATAATAACATACAATAATATTAGATCATATAATTTTTATACATATAAATATAAAGATATTAATTCTTTAACAATAATCTAGAGCAAATAGAAGGCAGGCTGTTTCCATTGCTTTGATTAAATGACAGCTGACGCTTTCTTTACACTGTGGTTTTCCAAGTTTCTGGCCACCCATGAGTCACCCAGACTGGGTGTTGAAATAACGATCACCTATTGCTTCTGGCTTTACAAGAGTTGGTAATGATCAAAAGATGCACTCATCAAACATATAACCTTTAACATGCTGCCTTTCTTTCATGTAGAATGACCTCTGTTTAAATGTTTGAAACTGGATCTGAAACTGGATAACTGAAAACCATTTAGGCCCAGCTTTAGGCTAAAGGGCATAGCTAATTTTGAACCTCTACCAAGCAAAGGCACTGGGTGTCATTTGTGCTCTATGTCAATATACAACATTTCCTACCAGCCACTTAAAGATGTTTGATAATTATATATATATATTTATATATCTTGTATTCGTTTTATACTGTAAAAAAATTGTATACCATATAAAAGAATGTGGCACAAATTTTGTAACACATTGTATGACATGAATTGGAATGATGCTTACAGCAACATGGTTACAATCATTGCTTTGAGTATTACCCTCCTGCCTTTAATTCCAGGTGGTCATAAAGATGTAAATTTTTAAGGAAACATTTAGTAGTCTTTTGCTGTGAAAGACCAGAGTTCACACACACACACACACACACACACACACACACTATTATAAAAGAATAATTAGGCAGTATCTGATGTAACAGTCTCTGCTTTATATTTCTCTTAAGAAATGAATTTGATTTCTCTGATTAACAGTGCATAAATAGTGGTTTGAATGTTTTTATCTCACAGATCTGATGCTTCACTATATCATGGATTAGCTTCAGTACCAAACTGTGATATTTAGCTTTTTGTATTGGATTTTATGCATTGGATATTTAGGAATATCTAATCTCCTTTGTTGACTTTTTGTGAAGAGGATGGAGGTTTGGGTTGGTAGAGCAATAATGTGTCTCTTCTTTTCACTCTCTCTGTCAGGTGGCATATTTTCCAGTGCTGATCTTTCTCCTTCCTATTATGGTCATGAGTTTTGCTCAGAAAGAAGAGCCTGCAGTACCACGGGGCTGTGGATTTGGCCTGACACGCCCCTATACTCTCCTGTGTGACCTGGAGACTGTTTGGGGTGTGGTGGTGGAGGGCTTGGCTGGTGGAGGCACTCTGGCTGCCATCCTTTTGGCTCTGGTGCTGCTATGTCGCCTTCGTTCAGTGACCGAGGCCGAGAAGCGAAGCGGCGTGGGCCCCATTCTCCTGCTGCTTGTGGGCATCGTTGGTCTTTTCGGCCTGAGCTTTGCCTACCTCATCGAGCATAATGAGAGCCTGTGTGTGATACGTCGCGCCTTATGGGGAGCCCTGTTTGCTCTCTGTTTCTCCTGTATGCTGGCCCAGGGTGTAAGGCTGCGGCAGTTGGTACGAGAGCAACGTTGCCCTGGCGGATGTGCTCTCACTGGGCTTGCTCTCGGTCTGGCAGCAGTCCAGGGCATTGTGGCAGCTGAGTGGTTGCTCTTAACAGTGCTGCGACAGGGTCAGCCCGCCTGCCAGTATGAGCCACTGGACTTTGCCTTGGCCTGCTCTTATGTGCTGGCACTTTTGCTTGCTGCCCTAGTAGCAGCAGTGCTAGCACTGTGCGGGAGGGCTCAGCCTTGGCGCTGTAATGCTGTATGGCTTCTTGTCTCCTGCCTGCTGTCCATTTTACTGTGGGCTGCCTGGATGGGCTTCTACCTCTACGGCAACGCAGCACTGGGGAAAGCTCCAGAATGGGATGAGCCTGCATTGGCTGTGGCATTGGTAGCACAGGGCTGGCTATTGCTGCTATGCCATGCTGCACCTGAGGCCCATGGCTGTCTACAACCTCCACCGCAGCCTTCTGCTCCGGACTACTTTGACACCTCACAGAACTCTTCACGCTTGAGGGAAACCAGTTTTGATGAAGATATTCCACTCTCACACAGACAGTTTGTAGAGAATCAGGGATATGCATTTGATGAAAATGCTGCAGGTATATACCTCTTAAATAAAACAAAGAATAATTCTGAAAAAATGATTGAAACTGAAAAATGAAGAAATGCTAATATATCTTTTCACTGTTAGGGCTGAGGAGTGGAGGCCACCATAATGGTAACACAGGAACCAGACCCAGCGCCCCTTTCCGCAGTAATGTCTACCAACCAACTGAGATGACCATGATACTGAATGGGGGAACAGTGAGTATATCATCTTTATTTTACCACTTATAAAACAGATGTCAGATCCTGAAGAACCATCTTCCTCATTGTTAATGTGGATCTCTATCTAGTTTGTTCAGATCAAGTATATATGTTGACTTCTGCCCCCTCACTTCCACTATAAATATAAATTAACCCTGCCAACAGTGCAGAACAACATCCGGGAGCACACAAAATGCATTCACGCAAAGAAAGAGCAGTATTTCAGTCTAAAGAGACATTGAGCTACACTGAGGAGACTTCTTGTGTCATCTGTGTGTCCAAGTTGAAAAGATTAGAGTAGTAGCAGCATCTTTACCCTAAACCTGTATTGTGTTTGTCTGTGAACAGAGTGAGAAAAACTGAAAAACCTTCTTCCCACTTGGCAAGATACTACAGAGAAATGGTTAGCTTTGGTTTCAGAGTAACTGAAGAACTGTGGCTAAATATCAGAATAAAACCAAAGCTATTAAGGGAAGAAGATTTTTACAGTTTTGAATCAGACAAGTGCCTTCCCCACTGAGTAGCCCAGTTTATTAAATGCTTGGGGTCAGTTAATTAATTTACATCGAAAATGTTTGTTTAAACAACACTGCAGCCACTGAAATACACTGAGAAACACTGTTATACTAAGCTATGTGTGCCTTGACTTCTTTTTGATTAAATCTTTTAATGTTTTAATGCATAGGTCCCATCTGCACCCCCCACATACACAGGAAGGCAGCTGTGGTAAAGGAGCACTGGACAAAGAGGAGATGGAAAGAAGCATGAAGGACAAAAGATCCTGAATTTGGAGGGCAAAGCCCTGATGGCACTAATGATCCTAACTTTTGTAGGAATGACCCCCAGCACTGCAGTGTGACTGGAATGAGTGAGGACTCTTGACTTGTGTATATGTGTGAGTGTTTGACCTTGTAGCTTCCAAGAATTGAAGGAGCACTGCAAAGAATACTGTGATTTATAGCTGTGGTTATGTCCCAGAGTTGAACAAAATATGGATTACTTTCAACAATTACCTTGTCAAAGTAAACAGAGCAAATATTGGTGATTTTTAGTCATCACTGTCTTGCTCTACAGGTGTGTTTGAGTTTTACTTTTACTTATTTATTTTGTTAATTATTATTTTAAACTCGTTTCATCTTATTATTACTATTGTCTCTTCTTTCAAAATACATAAGAATACATAAGTTTGACAATCCACAGTCACTTCAGATGCATTTCTTCAAGTTGATATTCAGGGTAAATAGAAGAAAAATCTAACCTGCTTGGCATGTGTGTGTGTGAGAAGGATTGCTTGTTTACCTTCCACTTACACTGCAGTGTCAGGCTGCGTGACCTGCCACAAAGCCTTTTCCTTTCAAGACCCTGGGCTTAAACTTCAGTCCGTCTAATGATAGGCACTGCTTGGTTATGTATATTTAAAACTTCTCGATAGTCCCTCTTCCCAGCAGTCTAACTGGCTATACTCTGCCACCCTATTAACACCAGCCTAAATTACAGCAAGTTGGTTTGAGAATAGTGGGATGTGGGGGAAGACATGGTTGGGTATCGGGATGGATTGTGAATCTAGGTCAGATGTCTGCCATCAAACACACTCATACACATACACACATGCACACACACACACCCACCCCCATTATTCTTTTTTACTACTGTCACCTTATATACAGTATAAATTAGAAGATTTGCACAAAGGAGGTGACAGATTTTTTTGAGAGTGATATAAGATTGGACTGTGAGTGTTGCCATGCCAGTACTAAGATGGACTCCGTCAAAGAGCTTTATCACTGGAAGGGATTGCTGGGTAGATGAATAACATACTGTGATTTGTTATATAAAGATCTGTCATTGGCTTGGTTTCCCGTAAGTCAGATTGGGTAAAATGATGAGGAATTGTATATATAAAGATAAGTTGAGAAGGACGGATAGTGATACTGTGTTTCTGACTGTGATAGTTCATTATTAGTTACAACATGGATACACCCTGCCTGTGGGAAATGATCAACTGTGTACCTGTGTATGTCTGTGTGAGGGAGAGAGACAGAGTGTGAATGAGTGTGGAGTGGATGGCAGTGCTTTTTCTCTGTGTTGTCAGGAAACACTTCTCTCCTTTCTCTGCCTGTGTTGATGTCCTGTGCCAAGGCAGACTCAGTTTTATACAGGGTCTCTGTGTAAATTCATTCCCTTCTCCTAGGTAATTGAAATGTACATACTAGTGACTTTTCCTGTGTTTTTTCTTTTTCTTTTTACTAAACATAACAATAAGGAGACAGCCTTCTCAATAAAGTAAAAAAATCCCCTTTTCCTGTTGTGGAACTGCTGAATTGGTGTCCCCTTGACTTTTTGCACATTTTGGATTTTTTTAAAAATAGTATTTCAAATAATTAACCAATTTTCTTTCATAGATACAAATTCAGTTTTGATTAAGGGATCGTGTCAACTTTTAGTTTCCTTTGATGTATCTTTTTAACAATATCATTTTAGTGAATGAAAATGTAGACACCCCCCCTCCTTTTTCTAATAATGCTCATTATTACACTATTTTGGGTTAGAGCTGTATATGACACAGAGTGATAACATCGCTAAATGTGGTTTAAAAAAAAAATAAAATAAAAAAAACTTAACCACACAGTGACTGGGATCACAAACCACTAGTGGCACTACAGTGAAGGTATAACATGGAATAAATCTTTTAAGAAAGCCTTATAACACAGCATTAAGAGTATAATAACAGGCCTTTTTGTTGCTGATGGAGTGCACAAACAAGGCACATTACTGTGGTAAATACACAGTCCCACATACAGGTTTATTGTGAAATATGTATGTGTGCAAATAGGAGCTATATATACATATACACACATACATACTTTGTAGAATTTGCACTTATCAACTATGTGTATGTGCATGCTCACATCCACATTAAAAGTTCTGTGTCAGTTTGTGTGACATCAAGCTCAATGTATTATATGATGGCACAAACATGTCTTGCATTTCTTGAATCACAACATAGTGATGGAAATTAATGTGTCTGATGTGTTAAAAATAATAAAGAGGATAGACCAAAATGCCCTTTAAGCTTCCTACAACAGCATCAATGCACTTCAACAGCACTTCCTCTGATGTTCTGGGGCTGAAGGTAAAGAAAGTGAAAGACAGTAGTTCCAGGTACATCTTCTCCCTGTTCAATAATTATAGTAAAAAGGTGGTGAGATTTACACATTACACTGTTTGTGAGGTTGGTATTCCTGACCCCATTTGTGTTAATGTATAGCTTGAGTCCTGATTTTTTTTATGTGGTTTAAATTACCCACTCCTTAATTGTCTTATCTTCAGACAATTAGGGACAGTTGATAGGAGTGGTGCCAGTTTATCATAGCTGTGACACAGCATGCCTATATGTACAACTTGTTTCCCCAATTAAAAAAAAGTTCACTGTTTCTGTAAAAGAATCCAGACAATGACTGAATAAAGTGTTATCTTTGTAGTTATTAATTGGAGTTTGTAGAATTTTTGGAGCACAAGAAGCATTCTGCACCATAAAGATAAGGTATTGTCATAAAATAATTTAATTTACTGCTGACACTGTTATACTTCATATCAAACATTTCATAAAGGGCATAGCCCAAGCTTGGTATCTAGCACAGCCCAGAGATTTTATACTGCACATTTCTTTGTCCTATAAAATAACATGTCTTGGCCATAGGATTTATATATTCATTCATTTAATTTAAATTTTTTTTTTATCCCATCCAACTGAGGCACACATTGACAAGGAGCTGTAACACACACTTAATTAAATTACACTCTTTACATTAGCTAGGCTCAGAAATGGAATCAACATACAAGGAATTTGTGAGAGGACTGGTCCAAATACATTATCTTTCAATTTGCTGTCTTTTAAATATCTGATAAGCTGTGGTAGTTCCACAAAACCCAGTCAGAACATTTGAAAATGTACCAGATTAAGAAAAATAAATTTTCCTCTTAGTCCCAATTCATAGTTGGATAATTAATTATTATTTAGCGTATCCACAGTAATACAGTGGATAAAAATAGTTGCTGGTCGGATCTTTAAAGACAAAAGACCATATCTCAAGACTTGAAATGACGACTATGAAGCCAGTGGGCAAAATAACAGATTTTATTATGGTTTTGAATATTATAGTAGTCTGCATGCAATTTTGCTGTGCAGTATTAAGTGAGTTATTTAGCGGGTGAGATGAAGTACATCATCTGCTCTTCCTGCACGTCAGAATTTCCTGTGCTTCCCTTTCTTTCGATATGGCATCCTGTTGTACAGGACATGGAAGCATGTGGGATATCATTATCATTGTCCCTGCTTCCTGTTTAGAATGTAGGTGTAAATCCACAAACAATAAACTGTTCATCTTGTATCATCTTGGTAATATATTGGTACAGTGTTATTCCAGAAAAAAAACTGAATGAAACTGTAAACTGTGTGTGACTTTGCACATGAGTAGTTTTAGAGCATCTTTATATACTTAACAGAATAAAAGCCATTATATAACCTAATGTGGCAAGGATTATCATGAGAAAAAGCACTAAACTCCTCCCTGACTCCTAATGTAAACTGTTGATGCGGTATTCATCATTGTAACAGGTCTGTGGTGTTGGGAAGAGGCTGTTTGTGTGATATGGCACATTGTGACTCCATGATGAGAAGACCAGGGGTGACAGTGCCCTCCAGAGAGCTGTGTGGTGCAGGTGTGTTGTAAGGGGTTGGAGACACAACCTGGATCGAGACACCAGACTGACCAAGCTGGTCAGAGTCATTAACAAAGTTAGTCAACTCCGACCCAACTGCAAAAGAAAAGAGCACATACAAAGTCAAAGTCATGAAAAACTAAGGTCAAGCAAGCTGTAGGGGAGCATGTGGGCACAACCTAACACCAGGTAAAACACAACACATTTTTGTAGTTAAACAGGTTCAAGCAGAAAGTGCTTTTGATCATCTTCACATATTCTCTGCCCAAGGGCACAAACAGGAATATCCAGTCACTGGCTCATCTCAATTACGTCTAGGGTACCAGCCACCCAAAACAAAGTTTACCTGAAAAAAAAAACGGACCTTTTTGTTCAGGAAAATCTGCCAAAATGTGGCAGAAATAAGCATTTTGATGTGATTTACTAGACAGAGGTACTGCACATAAGACTGCCAAAAATTAGTAATACTGCCCAAATATTTTAAAATATTCAGTAAAGTTGTCACCAGGATCCAAATGCTGTTCCTTGCTGCACCAGACTGAGCCATGGTCCTTTGCTGATGGGGGTGTGCGTAATGGTAGGCACTTGTCCATCGTCATTGCACCTCGCTGCACTGACCCACCATTCCCCTCCAACCACCTTTATAGTAGGTGATTCTATTATCAGGATCATAGAGCTCCAATCAGCCACTGTCCACTCTGTCTCTGGTGCCAAAGTCTTGGCCACTGCACAGCTGCTCTCTAGCATTTTAGAGAGGTACCACTTTGTGCAGAATATAGATATACGTGTAGGCTGTAATGAAATTGGAGCTCAGAGCACAGAGCTGTTAAAAAGGGACTTTACATATCTGCTATCTTCCATCAAAGACTGTGGCAAATTGTTTTTTATTTCTGGCCCAATCCCGCCGCTGGGTAGAGATGCAGAACATTTTAGCCACATTTTAAATCTTCACAGTTGGCCCCAAAAAACCTGCTTCTCCATTAGTTTCACTTTTATTGACCATTTTAATCTCTTCTGGAACCGCCCCTCCTTTTATAGATTTGATGGGATTCACGCAAATAGACTTGGTTCACAGATTTTGTAATGTATTTTATTCTGTTTTGAACTGTAAATGACTACTGAATATCAGTAATCTTCACTCGAGTATTCCAGAATCAGTAGTAGACCTAGGATCAGCTCTTCATCCCAAGACAAATGCTATGCAAAAAGTGGTTTTCTAAACAGAAATAATCTTATCATCATTGAGCTCTCTGCCATCATGCCGCTCTCAGTCTTTCGAATCCAACAATGCGATAAACTCCATAAAAGATCCTATAAGTTTGAAGAAAAAAAAAAATAAAGGGCCTAGGCACAAACCACCTAAACATCAGGAGCTCAAAAGCATAAAATGGGCCAACTGAAAGCCATGATCACACAATTTGATCCAGATATTATAGTACTTACAGAAACCTGGCTTAGACACTCCATCTTTGATGCCAATATGGCTTTAAATGACTTCATGCTTTATAAGACAGACAGAAAGAGGTGGCGGAGAAGCAATTTATATTAAAGCAAATATTCTGGCAAATATACTAACTGCAGTTTCTAAAAAATGCTTTGAATCCATATCTCTGAAGGTGTGTTAAGAGAAAAATAATTATTTTAATAGGAATATGTAGGCCTCCTTCTGCTCCTTCTTCTGCAACTGACGAATTAGCTGATTTTTTTTTTTTATTTCAGGATACTGCTTCAGAATTGTGATCTTTGGTGATTTTAATCTGAATGAACTAATACATCCGATCACTATAAGGACATTTGTGGCAGCCGCATACTTGCACAACTTATTACTGAATCGACAAGTGTCATGTCGGTTCAGCAGTCATGACCCCACATGCTCTGTGCCTGTGTGTAGGACGGTGTGTATTATGACTTTCTTTGTTTAGAAGCTCCTCATTGTAGGCCTTTGCCAGTATGTGGAGGCCCTGAATTTGTATGTGCGCTTAAGTCCTGTGGCCTAGGTAGTACTAAAATGTATATGTAACAATGTGTTTACATCAGATTTATTTAATAGTAAATCAACAATTTAAATATTTAATAAAACATTTAATTTAGTACTTGGCATCAAATAGTTTGTAATCAATAACTGCCTGCTGTCTCCAACCAACAGGGTTTTTTTATTGCTGTTTGAATGCTCCAGGGTGTCCTTTCTTTGTAATGAGCTTACATGCATGCTGTCGGCTTACATCTTATTCTAGCCAATCATATCTACCAGAGCTAGCTAGTTTGCAAGCACAGTCAGCTGTAGTTATCCAGAATTACATAACATACAATGGTCCATCCAAAACCTTTGTTGCACTTGGCTTGCTCATTGAAGCTTGGACCCAGATTTTCTGTAATGCTGCTTTGTGGCAACACCTTAAAAGTGCACCTTAAAAGTGTATTTATATAAACTTTGACTTGATTTCACCTGACTGCATTATCAGGCTAGCTAAGTGATAAAGCAGCATCAACCTGAACCACGATAACTCCACTGAACTGCAATTAAGCTTGCTTGTCTACACCCTTGTATTAACTCTCCACCAGGTTATGCTGTTACGAGCTGCCTGATGCCTGATGACTGTATCAATTAGTCAATGTTTTAGATGAGCTTCCATGTTTGCTTGCTTATGAAAGAATATAAAAATAGTGATATATAAATGACCTGATTTTAAGTGAAAACAGTACAAAGACAAGATATTTAATGTTTCACCTTATCAAATTTAAATAAATAAATTAGTTTATGTTCATTTGTTCCAAAAAGTTGGAACGGGGCAAATAAAGACAAAAAATAGCAATGTTGTCTAATGTTCAAAAAACATCTTAAACAGGTGATGCGACCAAGCTTGCGTATATAATAAACATTTAGGAAAGGCCTGGTCCTTTACGAGCAAGGATGGATCAAGACTCGCCACTTTGCCAAAGTGAGTAATCCAACAGTTAAGAACAATGTTCCTCAATGAGCAACTACCAGAATTTTAGGTATTTAACTGTCTATGGCGCAAATCATCATCAATACAGGGTATCTAGAGAAATCTCTGTGTGTTAAGTCCAAAGTCCGAAAAAAAAACAGCTGAACGCCCATGACCTTCAATTCCTCAGATGGTGGACATGCTTCTGTGATTGATGTCACCACATGGGTTGGGGAAACCTTTGACAAACCATTGTTAACAATGTCCAGAAACACGTCTGATTTCTCTCAGCTTGAACTCATTTGAAATAGACTAAAGCAGAGTGGAAATGTGTATTGTTGATGCCTCAACCCTTTAACCCCTTTTGTTTATGGAAATAACTGACACCATGTTCTCCGGCAAAGAAGAAAAGGACCAACCAGACTGTTATCAGCTTAATTTTTAAAAGCTGAATTGGGGTATAATAGTGCCCATAACATGAGTAACTTGTGTAACTCTGTGAAGGCACCATAAACCGTTCAAGATATACAGGCCGATGCAAAAGTTGGAATACCTTTGGTCAAACGTAATGTCCTTATAGTGATCGGATGTATTAGTTCATTCAGATTAAAATAAGTTAACTTACCATCTACAAGAAAAAAACAATTTTGCATAGGACACGTTTCATGTTTTACTTTTATAATATTTTGCTGTAATGGGCAGTGTCTTTTTTCTTTTGGAAGATGTTTTTAATGTTCCAATTAAGCTGTAAATCAGGATAACGAAATGTATCGATGTCACTCTTCCCCCCCCTCCATGCTCTTCTCACACGGCTTGAAGCCCATGTGTTTGTACAATGCATTATGGATTTAAATTACATTATCTTCTAATTCAGTTAGCCAACTCACATAAACAATTTTATAAACAAGCCTTTTAAACGGAATATTTCTAATGTGGCCTAATGTAAATTCTTAATAATTAATGTAAGTTAAATTATTTGTACTTTATTTGTTGTGCATTCAGTGACATTTAAACTTACCAGGTTACATCATGCACTGTGTATGGCATTATTAGGTAATACTGTTATCTTCTCGTCCATTTTATCCAGAAGGAACTGGCTGCATGAAGAAAATTGCCAGTTGCCAGACAGTACAGTTTCCAAATTGGTCAGGCAGCTGAGATGCAACAACAAAACATGGAAAAGCCTCAGCAAACCTAACCCTCAAGCATCAAGCAACCTGAGCTAAAGCATACTGTCTAGAGTTGCCACCTCAGCCCTGTAACAGCCCTGATAACCAATGGCTTAATTTTTTAATTTAAATTTAGTGCACAGGTAGCTATGCTCACAATGCAGTCTAAAGTAGATGTCAGTTGTCAGCTCACCAACAGCTCATCTTTTCCGTACAAATGTTCCTTCATTACCGGTAATCTAATCAAAGCTATTCTTTGTATACAAAAAAGTTTAACACAATAAAAAGAAGCAGTTTAAAGTTAGAACAGGAAACACAGATAAATGAAAATGTCTGGATTTTTTAAAACTTGTATGTTACACCCATGTTACAGCCTTGTGTTACACCCAATCACAATCTCAGAGCTCTAAACATCACTACAGATTGTCTACATATTTATACATATATATACAACCCCAATTCCAGAAAAGTTGGGACGCTGTGTAAAATGTAAATAAATGTTAATAAAAACAGAATGCAATGATTTGCAAATCTCATGGACCCATATTTTATTCACAATAGAACTTGATGGCGACAACACATTTTAAAAAAGTTGGGACAGGGGCAACAAAAGGCACGAAAAGTAAGTGGTACTAATAAAAAAAAAAAACAGCTGAAGGAGTAATTTGCAACTAACTCACATGACTGGGTATAACACCGAGCGGCTCGGGTACTCATGCTGCTCACAAGGGGAAGGAGCGAGTCCCGAGCCACAGCGAGGCCGCTTCACTAAACCTCACGTTTGACCCGGGCCGAGCTGCGAGCTGGGGGATGTGACGAGGAGGCGGAGCAGCGAGCTCTCGTTCCCTCTCGGCTCGGGTGCTCACGCTGTCCTTAATGAGAGCCAGCTGAGGCTGATCTAGCTGGCAGCGTGAGCACCTTTTAAAAAGAACAGAGCGAGAGAGAGAGAGAGAGAGAGACGAGCAGCAGCAGCAACAACAAAGGACTGAAGACAGAGCTG